TAATTTTGGTAACTTTGATAATGAAGATGATATTTGATTTGATTTTCCTGAAAAGTATTAATTTAAGTAAAATAAAATACATTACAAAAAAGAATCTTCCATATGGTGAACTCATAATTAGTTTGAACATTTCTTCCAACAGGCATGCACAACATGAATGGTGGCAACCGGTAGAGCCCGTTGAAATTAACATTTTTGGTTCCAAACACGAAACGTACTCCTAACTTGAACAACAATTTTTAGACTGAGTCTAATAATCGCTCCGAATTCTGCTAGTAATACATCCTATACAATCCTGACGATAATCTCATAATAATTAAGTCATATCTGACTTTTACTGTTAGAGTTTGCCCATTGGTCGGTCTCTGATTAGACACAATTAATAGGGAACTCACAGATCTGGATCCGGTCATTAGGAGACTTTTAGAGTCGGATCTGGACTTAGTCAAGTCTGGAGATAGAGATGTGCAGCACCAAAGTTTTTTAGTTCTGATCCCGCTTTAAAGAAAACTATTCCAGAATTTATTTGTATCACATCTAAAACAATTCTTAAATACTCTTTTTTTCGATTTATTTAGTCAATGACTATGACTTTTATAATCTTTAGTTCCGGTTGGGATAACTTTTTTCTCTTAGTAAAAATCTCAGGACTAGAATTGGTTCTGTACATCTCTTGTTCGGAACCAATCCGACGAGCACTAGTGATCAACTGTTGGGTGAAAAGAACTCCTTGTTAGGGCTTCTCAAGTAAAGCTCATTAGAAAAATTTAAAACTTTCGGAGTTGATATATCTCGATTATTAGACTTCGTAAATTCTGACTGCGACCAATGGTACATTATTTTGTGAAAAGAAAATCCGTAGGCATCGAAAATACTTTCTAGTATGAGTAAAAAAAGTTTCACTTTTATCGAATTTACTCCAGTGAAGAAATAGATGCGAAACTATATTACCTTTTTATTGAAAATTTGTTTTTCAGAAACAGTAAAAATTTTGATGCTTCTCAACAAAAATTTTCTATCTTTTCAGATTTTTTTTGGGTTTGACAATGTAAACGAGTTCAATTTATCATTCCTATGCTATGAAAAGTATTCAAACTAGAAACATTTACAATTCGTTTCTAATTCGATCGGACGGCGCTCCAGTCATGCAGAACTTCAGCATAGACATTTGTTCTATTGATTCTGCTCTTTGTAATATAAAGATGTTCGAGTCTATAGTTAGTAAATGGCTGAAATATTAAGATCGGCATTAAGTCCGTGTCATATAACCTGCACGAAGAGAAATATTGGATGGATCAATACTATCGATTGCTATTTGGTTGAAAGAACCATCAGATGATAAATTTAATTTGAAAAATTGTTTTTCTAATGTTAAATTTAATGAATGTTGATCAGGTATTAAAGAACTACGTCTAGATTGATGAGATAAAGCATCAATTGAATTTCGAACAGATTTCTGTGAAAGTTGTTCTTCAGTAATCGTTATATTCGTCCTACGACTTAATAAATTATCATTTACTATTGAATATGAACGATCTGATATTTGATTATTTGCTTGTAAAATAATTTCCAAGTTAAATATACGTTTATGAAGGGCATCTATAACTGCATTCATTGCTCTATTATAAGTAAAATTATCAGATCATTTTTAATTATTATAACATTTTAATTTTATTAATCGTTTGTACTTACGGAGTATAATCAAACCATTGTTTTGTCAATGTTGATTTATTGATTGAATGTAAATCAGTTAATACTGTGATATTAGCCATTGTTTAAATTTTATATAATGAAAAGTGAACAAAAAAGAAAAATTCAAGCGCCTTCTTCTCCTTTTTTGGTCTTTAAAACTGTTTGAGTCATAAGAAAAATTTTATGAAAAATATTTCTTTATTTCTCGTATATATAATATAAAAACATGAAATGAGCTCCATGGTTAAGTTAGTATAATCTATTCAAATTCAATTAGATTTTCAAATGGAAATATTTGTTACGATATTTATCACAAGGAAGGCTACATCGATGGAATCGATACTGGTTTGGTCTGGCCTACTCAGACCAGTTTTCATCTCTGTATAGCTGTACGAAAGAATTCAATTAGTCGATGTAAATTTGCTTTAGATTATTTAACTGATCATAGATGAGTGTTGAGAAAGAATTTATTAAATGTTGCTCATTTGATCAACGAGAATATGATCATATTTTATTATCCAAAAATTTTTCTGTCTACTATTAGTATTTTTTACATGAACATGTTTGTAAAATATATTCTGACAATTTGAAAAAGACGTATATTTCTCTTTCTTATAACGTTTTTTTTACTTGTTAAATGGTGTTTTATTAAATTTTTGAACAATATTTTGCTTGTTTAAATATCAAGAATAATGATATATAATAATGATGATATGCACATTAAATAATAGAAGTAATTCATTAGATGTTTTGCATCATGAATTAATACTTTTCATTTTAGTCACTTTGCTTTTATCTAATTAAGCGTTTTAAACGATGAAATAAATTAAATGAAAGTTAAATTTTATTAGAGTGAGAATATCGATTAAATACAATAGAACCTCTGTTAAATAAGCGTCATCGGGACTTTTGAAAAGTATTCAATATTGGAAGATGCTCATCTATGTCAGATATCATATATTTTACTACGAAGGAGAAAATAATTTCAGAATATAAACTTCTTGACTAGTTATGAAATAATCAGAGATCATTCTCTGTGTTGTTTATCTTTCTTCATTTGAATATTTATGAATCCAAAAAAATTTCAATAGAATACAATACTTTGCTTTGTTTTCTAAAGAAGGGTTTAACATAATGTTTCTCAAAAGTAGATTTCATGTTTGAATAAGTATAAGTTCGAGAAGTTTTGCCATTTATCAGTATTATTTTCTTTTGACTTTTTTATGACACAGTAAGTGTTATCTTTTCAACCAAATCTATCGAAAACGTTCTTCTCTGAAAGACTAGTATGCTGTCATATATGGGAAAAGAGTTCTATTTGCTTAATCCTGTACAAGACATCTATGAATGTTGATTTGTGCCATCGTTAAATTCAATCATTTAATCGTAAATAACAATTCTAAGACTATTTTAACTCACTGGATAAGTTTTTATTTTCTCGTGTCATTCTTTTCTCTAATCAATCTTATATTGTTCATGCGTAGTAGTCTATCACAGAGCTCCGAAAGGATTGGGTCAAATGCGGGCTAGCTCTTGAGTAAAACAAAATTTTCAAAAGATATCGTATATTGTCTCAGAAAAAAAATATGTTTCTCAAAAAATGATTTTTTTGTTTTTTTGTCATTGACTCAACATTTCTGTAATGAACAACGAGTGAATATACGAAGCAAAACAAAGAAAAATACGTATATTTATTCATACTAAAACACGAATATCATTGTCTCATTTGCGTCTATTAATCAACAAATACATCATCATATATTACTGTTTCTATTTATATATCCACTAATCTTCTCAATCGTTACTTTCTGTTATCACCTGATCGCCAACTACCACTGACAAGGATGTGAGTGCACAAGAGAAAAAAATACGCAGACCAGTACGTGTATACCCTTCTATAAATGAAGTGCATATAAAAACATCAGTACTCTTTTTTCTTCAAAATTGATTGATGTCATTCATTATATGCAATAAATTGTAATATAATTTTTAAAATAAAAAGGTAGTTAACAACAATAAATAATTTTGACTAGAATGAGTATTTAGTTAACTATCTTTGAGAAAAACTTTTAACAAGATGGATCAGTCCATAGGTGGCTCAAAGGCTAGCTTTCCTCGGTTCAGTCCAGCCTATTTGAAGTTCATGTTTATCAAATTCGAGAAATACATGACAGTTCTCTAATGGTTTGTATTATGATGACGAATAAAATGGTAATCTTTGTTTTGACGAAATGAAATCTATAGTTTAATACGTAACAAATGGAACAAAAAAACCTTCCGATTTCTGCATGAAAGTTTCAAACAAAAATGAAAAATTCTACTGATATTCACTAGATATATTTAATTAGATTTCAGCAGTAACATCTTCAAAGAAACAAATGTATTCGTTGCATACAATAATTAAGTTTTTTGTTTTTTTCATAGATTTATTCCAAAGTAATAATCACATCAGTGTCTATCCATTTGTACTCTGGCTCGTTCTCTCTCTCTCTCTCTTTTTCTTTTTTTTGTAAATAATGTGCAAAAAAAAGCACAACTAATTAAGATAAACGAATCACAGCGAAGAATATGTGCGTATATACGACGACAAATAAACAAAAAAAAAATAGATCATACAAGAACTTAAGCTTTTTAAAAAGACAAAAAAAAAGAGGTGCATACATGTGTGAACAATCAATCATAAAGGTAAATAAAATATGTGCATGCAGGTGTATATATTTCTTTTAATCAAAAAAAGGAAAAAAAAGAGAATTTGCTGCTGGTCTCATCATCACAGAAAAAAAATGTCTATACACAAGTATTAGTTAATTCGTATGTACACAAATAAAGGGAAAAAGAAAAGTAACGATATGAAGCCACTCAGAGAACGAACGAACAGACAAACAAAGAAAATAATAAATAACATAGAATAACACGTTACACGTGATGAAGATAGAAAAAACTACCTAGTAGAAAAAAGAAAGGAAATCGAACTCATGAAGACAACAAGCGGGCATATCATACTTCTATTCTAGAAGACAATATTTTCTTTTTCCATATAGAACAAAATATATAATATATATAAATCATACGAGAGAGAGAGAGAGAGAACGAGAGAGACCATGGACTAGCAAAAAAAAAAGAAGAAAGGTCACGCGGGCGAAAAAAAAATGGAGTATTAGAAAAAGAAACAAGCAAACACACGAATCAAGTTATTTTTATCCTTTGACTTTTTGTCCTCCACTAGCATTAAATGATCCATTTGGTGTTCCATTTGGTTGGCGACAAACATTTTGTATAGGCATTGGAGCTGCATTTTTTGTTGATTGTTAAATAGTTGTATGGGTTTTAATATCATCTATTATTGGAAAACAATCACGGCATACACGTACAGCACGTGTTAAATTTAAAGATGGAATTGCTTTGTAATAATTAGCACAACTATTACAGAATATATTACCACAATCTAAATAAAATCAAAATAAACAAAAATCAGATTAATATTTAACAAGCATAAAAAAAAAAAATTAAACAAACGTCGTATTTTCTAAATAGAGATGTAAGCCGATGCATTGATCAACGTCGTCGGTGGCTATAAAAACCTCAGAGTTCGGCGGCGGCGGTGGCGGTGGTTGCGCCCGAGCGTATCTGATGCTCCGGCAAGAGTAGCCACAAATTTTCGATTTGTTTTCAAAATATTTTTAGTTGTGCGAAATTTAGAAATGTGAAAGAAAATAAACTGATTCTAGATGTCGAAAATTTTTGAAAGATTTGCAACCTGTTTTTATGTTACAGGTGCGACGGTATAGTCGATTGAGTTTTACATGACAGGCATACACTATGTTATATAAAACTACGGCTTGATTCTATTCTTGCGATGTTCCAGTATTTTCAATAAGATAGGTCTGATTGTTTTTTGAATAAATTTCTATAGGAAAAACTTAAAGACCTGGAATCTTCATTAACCAAGGGAGAAGATCCTTGGTCATCTACATTTGTCGAAATCTGATGGGTGAATTATTGATCTGTCACATGAGTTCTCTGCAGAGATTTTGAAAAAGAATCAATATTATTAGTCATGAATATAAAAGAAAACGTTTTCTAAAGATACAGATCTTGGATTGGAAGTCTCAATCCTTCCATAAACAACTATTGACTACAGTATCAATTCCTTAAATAACATTTTTCTCATCTTGGCTTCTAATTTATTTGTATATTATCCAAAAAAAAGCCTTAAAAATTTCGCTATTGAATATATTTCGTCAATGACTAGCATCTTTCTTTTGAGTTTTATTTTCATTGATATTTTTCATAATATATCTCTAATCGAGATCCATCAATATATTTTGATGTTATTATTCTAGATTTTTATTGACCTGAAAAAACATAAATATTCATTTATATATGATGATTAACATACTTCGACAATGATGTTTACGTGAAATTGGCCATTGTTGAAATTTCGTATGACATGAATGGCATGTATGAACATTAAAATCTGGCATCCAACGTGTAACAGCTCCTTCTGTATTATCGATTTTTTGCCATGATGCACATGATGATGTTTCAATACTATTTTTATTACTTTGTGATATTATATCCATGCGTGGAGATGTATTCTAAACGATCAAAAAAATAAGAAATTAGCTCAATGTGGAAAGAAAAAAAAGTTTTTTTTTTTTACATGAAGATTATTATTGTTATTATTATTATTATTATTCAATTTAATGAATGTATGTATGAATTTGAGCATACGTCCTATTTGATCATTAAGACATTCAATTTCTTCTACATATTCTTGTCGTTTTTCACTCATTCTTTTAGTAATTTGATCAGGAATTTTTGTTAGACCATCATAATCGATACGTTTTCGAACAGATTTTATTCTTTTGTTTAATGATGATGATGTTTGTGATGTCTGAAAATAAAAAAAAAATAAAAAAACAATCTTTTGTTTGTTTGTTTTTTCTTTGAATCAGCCAGAAAAAGAACAAACCATTTGTGGTGTTTGATTTGAATCATGTGAATTCATTTTTGTTAATGAACATTCAGATGAACTTGAATGAGTACTTGAAGTTGAATTTGTATGTTTTCGTGGACGTGACATAGCTCGTAATATATTATCAACACTACTAATATTTAATGGAAAACGTTGAAATGATAATGCTAATTGTGTTATATCAGGTGCTGAATCATCTGTTGTAAAACTATGTCGTTTTAGTCCTTTATCTGGACTTCCATGATAATTATTATTTGATATTGTTATTGTTGATGGTGATGTTATATTTGCAGCATTCGGTGATGCTGGACTTGATAGAGTATGAATAGGATTATTTGTCATATTATGATTACTACCACTATATGTACCAAGATGATGTGGTGGACCAAATAAACTATTTGTTGATGTTGAATTGTGTAAGCGATTTGATTGAATTTGTTGAGTACCATTTATTAATGAATTATTATTTGTATCCGTATTACCAGTACGTATTGTAATCGACGATGATTCAAGACTTAATGAACCTGTTAAATTTGGATCAGATGTAGATCGATGTAAACAATTTGTTAATGATGATAAATCTTCATAAGAATGTAAACGAGCAGGTACTGAAGATGATGATGTAGATGGATGTTCAGATGTACCAGTCGGAGTATCTCGTACATCACGTAAATATAAATTTGACCATATACGTAAATCACGAATTGAATATGATGGATAAAGAACCTTAAAAAAATAAAAAAAAGATTATTGGTAAAAGATTTGATGAAAATCATTCGTATAAATTAGAAAACTAGAGTGTGAATGCTAGATTTTTGTCTTATGTATTCGAATCTTTTACTTTTAGGATTACCACATGCTGTTCTCAATTGATAGGAAAAAGCAGTTAGTTATATCAATATTCACATGTACTTTAAACTGCTCCGTAAAATAAGAGCAATTGAATGATGCTATCAATATACTCTACTGAGGAGTATCCCCGACAAATACCTAGCAGAACACAATTCAATTAAATGTTATGAATGTATAATATAACAATGAATCTCACTGAAGTCTAGACGAACCTCAGACTGTCAACAAGCATTGATATTGACTTCAGAATGGTCTATTTACATAAATAATAGTTAAACATAACTGGCAGATATTATCAGTAATCTCTACTAGGTGACAAAACTTATTGTTATTCCTGCAGAGAGTCAATTAAATTCTTTTTGCCAGAAAATAGTAGATTTTATTCTCTAATATTTACTGTACAAAATGATGCATTTTAGAAATTCCAACGATGTCTTATCAAGATGTATGAATATGAAAGAAAATCGAAAGTGACTTTGACTTCAATCTTGTGTCATGATTGGAATATTGCAAAAGAAGAGTCACATGTTAAAACTGAATTTTCCATACAAAATTAAATTGAGTCGATGCAGGTTTCATCTACCTTTGAATTTTGATGAATATCTTTAATTGAAGTGTATAGGTAAATGACTCTAAAGATCTCATTCTTATTTAAGATAATTGCGAATTTGAATTAGACTATCGTGAATTCATTGAATGTTATTTTTTTTTTCTTACTTCTTTATTTTTTTCATCAAATAAATGATTATTGAATTCCGCTGATTTAGTATTTAATAAACTCCATATACTTAATGTTCGTCTTTCTAACTTAGCTATTGTTCGATCATAATCTGTATTACATAAAAATGTTCCATATAAACAAGTATATGTATGCATAGCTAATTTAATCTAAAATAAAAAGAAACAAAAATTTTTAAAAACAAATTTTGTTCTTTTTTTCTTCTTACAAGAAACATTTCATTAAATTCAAATGCGGTGGGATACTGAATAAATAATTGATAAATACAATCAAGCCACTGAAGAAATACTGGACTTCGTTCATTAGGATCATTTGCGCCAATACCATGGCCACAACGATCACCAAATTTATGTCCAAATGCAATCCATTCACGTTGTACTAATATTTGAAAACCTTCAATTGTTCGATAATATGAATCGAGCATTAGTTCAGCTAATGCTGTTATTTGTGGTGTTCGATCCCAACCATCTGAGCAATGAATAAGAACTGGTCGAGCATGTTTATTAACATTATCAACAACGAATGATGCAGCACCAATTAATGCTGATAAATTATGTAACCATCTAGTAGATTCTAATTGTGAAAGCCAACTAAAAATACATAAATCAATACGTTTGTGGTTTTTTTTTATCGAAGAATATATTTTTTTATCATTAAAACTTACTTTTCACCTTGTGCTGTATTAGCTATAGCAACACGTAACATTTGAGCACTTTTACGAATAGCATGAATATTAGGTAGATTCATAAATTGTACATCACAATCGGTATAATATGGTGGATATTCAAAACCACCACCTTTAGCACGATTTGCAATAGCTGCAGCATAACTTCGTGCATCAAGAATTAATAAACGGTTTGAACCAGTTTTTTCACCTATAAATATAAAACTTAAAGGTTTAAAACATTCTGTCAATTGGCTTTTTTTTTTAAATATTATTTACGAGGAAGAGAATCTGTTGCTGTTGGATGACATGCATTGATAATAGCTTGAATCATTTTTTCATCTTCTTTTGAACGCCAAAATAACCAACCAACCTCAGGTTGACTTGTACGAGCAATAACTGCACCATTACTATGTCTAGATAAAATAAAATGTAAATAGATTTTAACCAAGAGTAGACTTCTATTTTATTGGAAAGTTTAATCTTTATATCAAAGAAAAAATATTTACCAATATGATTCAGACATTGATATAAAGAATCGACAGAAAAGAATTATCTAATCTAATACTTATATTGATTATGATTCATCAAGATAAAGCATAGAAAAATTGTAAAGGCTACGTTCCTCACAATAGAAGATTTGGAATCTTCCATCGCTGAGTAGAATCAATATAACAATTTCACTATGTCTCGTTCCAACTTCGAGTTGGAACTAGGCGTATTGTGTTGATTTTAAAGTTTTTGAAACAGATCTAATTCACTGATGGATTTCTTCATTGATTTATATAGCACGGAAATTTCGAAAGATATAAAAAAAAAACGTTGCTATCGCTTTCAAATTTGATACTTCCTTTATTTTTTGAAATCCTTCTACAAATCCTCACTTAAGTGTTCAACGAGGGATAAAGAATTAACGAGAGTATTTTATTACAAGTCATGTTCCTATTTTAGAATAGAAGCAAATTAAAAAAAATCTGAGATTTTCACAATAAATTATTCTCGTTAAGGTTGACCTCTATACAAAGCTTCATGTCAACATTCGAAAGTTAGTCTTTCTAATGTACTTCTGAGAAGAAGAACAACATTGAGCTTATTACAGTTGACATGATGCATATAGTCTTGACTTAATATTAATTAATCAGTTGGCGGATTTCCCTTGTCAGTCGTGTGTGAAAAATCGCATTCGCATAGACAAATTGTTTTGTATTATTTATAGATTTTAATAATTATATTTTACCTCCAAACAATAGTTGGAAATCGTCTATATGATCTAAATTTGGCAACATCAGAAATTTCTTCATCTTTTATAGTTAATGGTACAACACAAAATTCCGGATAACTGGCACATAATTCATAATTTCGATTAATCTCTGTTAAACGCCATGGATATGTATCTAATTGTAAACGTACAAATTCATCATGAAAACGATCCCTTAATGAACGTTCTTGATTTGGTTTCAATAAAGCATATTTAGTTGCAAATAAATCTTCTAAACATATTGGTATTGATATTAATTCAGTTAATTTTCTTAACCAATAAGAACATTTATCTGTTGTAAAAAATGTTAAACGAAATGAACGCATATTTTTACATTGTATATATAAATAAATATTATCTTTCATTTCAATTAAATCAATTAAACGTAATGGACAATTTATAAATGAACAACATGAGTCATTTGTAAATATAAATACACGATATGTTGTTAAATAAATCATTCCATCAGTTAAATCATTAGCTTGATCAATATATTCTTCACCAGTTAAGAATTCAAATGGTAAATCATCGATATTAATTAAATATTTAGTTGATTTATCAATAGGTAAATCTGTTGTTAGTATTGGTAAAGATTCTAATGGTGACATTGTAGTACAAAATGATGTTGGAATTGATTCATTTGAAATTTGATTATTAAATATTGGTACTTCGCATACATGCATATCTTCTTCGACAATAGTTATCGGTGATGGAACTGCGATAACCATTATTTTCGTTTCGCTTGTTCTTTTTTTTTTTTTTGAATATTAAAACGTTAATTTTGAAATAAATTTAGATAAACATCTAAAAAAAACTCAAATAATATTAATCATAATCGAACCTTCAAACATCATATGATCATATGATATAAAAATATTATGAATGACTCATGTCTAGACAATGCGATTCATTAAATATAAAAAAAATGTTTTTTTTTTCGCGTTCTTTATTTCCCACTGTAATATTTGCATTACTCAAAAGATTTCTTGTAACTATTGACATAATTCTTATTCAACATGATAATACATAAGTTATTCTGATAGGAACAAAAAAAAACGAAAATCAAGAAAATATTGAATTCTTCCAACATAAAGTGTTGAATAAAAATTACAAAAAGATAAAAATGAAGGCACAAAAAAGAAAGTTTTGTTTTCGGAAGAGGCGTGAGGGGGCCGGATCGAGGAGAATCGTTATGTTAATGAATCATTTGATCATTGTGTAGATTTAGCTAGTCCAATTGAATATAGGTAATTACGAATGAAAGAGTTTTGAAAAGAAAATTTTATTTCTGCTTCATTTCAATCTTAATTTATGATTTTATTTAAAATTTTCATTACTTAAGAAAAACAAACAATATTTAGTGACATCTATCTCTGATAGACCAAAAGATCACAAATCACGATTATTGATACAAGACAGCTGATAAGAGAAGCGAAAAAATGAACAAACATTAGTCAAATATTATGCGACGATTTTTTATTCGATTCACATTGAATAAATAAAAAAAAAAACAATACAATCAGTTTTCGCTATTCTTATTTGATGATAGTATAAAAATAATGTATGGAATGCAATATGTAAAAATGTAAAATGTGAACTTTGTCTGTTAAAAAGAAAGCAAAAATACCCAATTACTGCCGCCTGTCTTTTTTCTTTAATACTAAAAAAGAAAGCAAAAATACCCAGTTACTGCCGCCTGTCTTTTTTCTTTAATACTAAAAAAGAAAGCATGTTCTTTATTTATTATAAATTTGAGTGACGAGCATAACCATTGTACCGTTGTATCCCGAAAAGAAAAATGCTTATAAGTGAAGTTTTACTCAATCGATTTTCTTACACTTTTTTTTGTTTTACTGGTCTGAAGATAATCATTTACTTCTGAAAAGAATCAGGTTTGAATCTGCTTTAGTTTCCAAGAAACTATAGCGACAGGTCAAGTTCATAGCTTCTGACGTTACTTGTCAGAAGTCAATCAATATGTTTTTTTATGGAGCTCACATATTTTCGAAGAAAATAGTGAATGTAAGTTTTAAGTTCAAGTTTCGCGACTCCCCCTCTCCTTTCTATTATCGACACATCCATTACAGACCATAGCAACTTCAGCAAAAAGAAAGAAAAAATTTTTGTTCGAAGTATATAAATAAAAAAGACAGCATTTGTTGACAATCGATTATCATTAGAAAAGAACCATCGTCTTTTAGAGAATTTAAACATTGTATATTTTGTCATTAGTATAATGAAATTAAAGAAGATATGTGAGTTCCACATTCCAATCTCAAAGGGGCTGTGCTAACAAGTTTTTTTTTTTATTCCATTGTTAGTTTTTTAAAATAAGTTTTGCAATTTGGCTTGTGGAACTTTTCAGGAGCTTTCAGAATGTCTTTAGTTTCAACTTTAGATAAAGTTTTATGAATGAAGAAATGTTGATAATAGACGTCAAGATACTTTTCATTTTTGTGTAGAACGACATTAAAGTCAATTGTATTTTGCTTGAAGAAGCCTTATTTGAACAAAGTTAGATGAATATCAAAGAAAAATAGGGGAAAATAATTTGAGAAGTAGAAAAGATTTGTTTCATAATCTTAGTTAATATTAACTCAAGGAAAACTGAACCGTTTGCTACAGAAGTTTTTACCCTTTTTTTTTTCAACTCATCCAGTAGAGAAATATTCCAAAGATCAAGCTAAAATCTTTCTCCATTTGAGAGAAAATTTAGTTTTGAAATATTCACAAATTAAGACTGATTGATATATGAAAATAGCATACAGAAATAGGCTCTCATACAGGAAGGTGTTGCGAAAATACTACTTTCATACACCATTGACATCGCTCTATCAAATGCAATACTTCATTGTCTCTTATTATTAAATTTGTTTTTATCGATTTTTTGCCCGAACAGTAACAATGGCTATGCTCTTCAATCATATGTATGCCAAAATTCGATGATCGATTAAAGTGCAGGTTTGTTATATAGGGAAAAAGTTATGGCATACGAGTAAAACTATTATCAGTATGATCGTTAAATTTGTATGTCTATTGATCTAATCAGGTATTTAAAACACTAAAACACAGAATAATTACTTTTTAATAGAGATTTATCAAAAAGTTTACTGTGTCATGATTTCGAAAATATCATTATTATTTTATTTAATATAATAGGGAGCTAGATGGTCAACATGGATTTTCTTCGTCAGACGAAGATATCGCAACATAGAAAATAAATTTCATGATACTAGACTGCTCCGTGCTACCCCTCTATTATCGTTACCAATTCCCTGCCAAATGGTTCTAGTTTGACTGATTGATGAAATAATCATTGGATAGTTTCCATATGAAAGATGATGAAAATCGTCGAAAAGTTATCCATATCTCCAACTAATTTTAACTATTTGCCTTAAAATTTTCTCTAGTAAGTGCCAAGTTTTCGTTGAAAACTTCACGATCACAGCAATCGATGAAGAAGAAATCCACGGTGAGATCGTTCCAGACAATGGAGGCTTCTCTCCGCCTCAACATTACGGCGGATTGAAGTACCCTGTTTTTGACACAATAGAGACATGAGATTCTTTATTTATTAATAAGCAAATGAAGGTTAACGCATTTAAACAGTGGAAAATTAGAAAAGTATAAGAAAAAGCCTTTTTCTGAGTCCTAGGAAAATATCAGTGTGTGTTTTTATTGTAAGTCTTTTGTATTAAGAACATTCGACGTCAGATTGCTGCTTGCGATCAGGATTTATCGAACTCTATTCGTAGTCAAAATATCAGACAAAAGGATTGAAGTTGATGTACTTTCTTATTCGGTAGTAAAACTTCTTGAGATTACTGTAGAACACACGAGCCGTGGATATACGACATTCGACCCAAGTTCAGAATGACTATCAAAGGTTCCAATTTCACCAGAACCTGAATTGTCTTGCTTATATCTATCCAAACCTATTTGTTGTTGACGTTGTCAATTTCTATCAAGTTTATTGATTTTTTCAATTTATAACAGATCTTGTGTTTAATTAATATTATTTAAAGAATAACTTAATATCTGAAACTCAATTTCAATTTGAAATATCTGCACTGCAAAATTAATATTCATCTTAGACAAGATCTGTAAAATTCTCACTTTAACTCTTATATAACTTAGATCATTGTGTCCATCTTAATTAGAATTGTTACATTCTAAGTCAAGAAGAATATTGGAAAGAAAATATAAAAATATTTTTTAACTGTATATTTTTTAATAAAAGATTTTTAATGAACCATTACTTTTAGATATAGCTGTTGTAATAGTTTATTTCATTTGAAACTTATTCATTTCTATAAAACAACAAATGGATAGATCAAATTCTTATGATGGTGGTAGCCGCAGTGGTAGGGATCGATCGAAACAAGGTGGTTTTGGTCATCGTGAATTCTCATAGTATGTTTCAATTGAATAATAGATATGGAAAAATTCTCTATTTATTGATTTAGTTCAAATCGATCAACAAATAGAGGTGGCTCAGTTATTCGTCGTTCAAATAAATCTTGCATTTCATCTTCAGCAATCGATACAAACAGGTAAGTCAATGTGAAAAACTATATAAATAAAAACTGTAATTCTTTTATTTAGTTGCTCTAATTTACCACCTATTGGTTATAATATGCTTTGTGATATGTTAAAAAAAGAACCAGATAAAATGATCATTGATATAAATCGAGATTATTTTCAATTAGATAAATATTTAAATGATGAACGTATGAAAATAAATTTTGAATGGGTTCAAATGTTAACAACTTTATTTGAACGAATACTCGATTGTCTTGGACAAGAAAAACGTATTGCAGATATTCTGGTTCGTAATTAAATTTCATTGTTTGTTTGTTTTTTTTTTTCATGAAATTAAAAATCGAACTTTATTTAGATTAAGTTACCTGGTACAGTTTATTTTGATGCTTTATATGAAGAAATACGTAAAACTGATACAAAAACAAATACATTACGTTTTGATCTTATTTTAAAAACATTAAAAATTATTAATCATTTATTAACTATTAATCCTCATGCTGAAAGTACTGTAGCTCGTTTTACTGAACGAATTGGAACATTTTTGTCTCGATTAGACAATGAAAATGAAGTAATAAAATTAAAATTTTTATTTATAAAATTCTTTTTTGTTGTTTTGTTATCTAAATTTAAGGAAATAAAATTAATAAAACAATTACATTCAACAGTTGTACAAAAAGCTGAATATATTTATCATCAAGAACAAGAAAAAACTCAAATGAAAAAATCTTATATTGAACTTCGACCACCACCTGATAATTTTCGTTTATTAAATATAATTCCTTCAATGAATGAAATTCTTTCACATGAACCTGTTTATTTACGTCAAAATATTGTTGAACGAGGAGGTTCATATGAAAATAGTGATCATTATTTAGATATACATTTTCGTTTATTACGTGAAGATTTTCTGGGTCCATTACGTGATGGTATACAAAATTATCTTTCGAAATCATCTATTAAAAATACAGATGTAAGAATTTATGAAAATGTCTTTTCACTTGGACCCAAATTAAGTCCAAGAAGTGGACTAGTTTATGGTTTACAATTAGATCAAAGGAAATATGGAAAAATTCAATGGGCTAATAGTCGACGTTTAATTTATGGAAGTCTTCTTGCTTTGACATCAGATAATTTTAAATCATGCACTTTTGTAACGATTGATGAACGATCAAATATTCAAAAAGATCTTATTGTTTATGTAAGCATTCTTTTATTATTTTATTCAGAAAAAACCGAAAGAGAGTTTATGAAATAGGTTCGTCCATATATTGAATCACACGATTTATTTGTTAATCATGATTTAACTAAACTTGATATACTTATTAATTGTCAATCATTAACTATGGTTGAAACAACAAGTTATTTTGAGGCTTATCGTCATGTTTTACGTGCACTACAAAAAGTTCCTTCTCAAGAATTCCCGTTAGCTCCATATATTTTACAATTATTACATGATGTTACACCACCAAATTATGTTACTTCAAAAACTGAATTCGATTTTACACCATTACTTGTTCCATCAAACTCTCGTTTATCTACTTTTACTCAACTATCTGTTAATCCAAATTCAAGTGATCTAACACATGAACAAACTATTTTTCATATCAATTATGCTGAACAGAATACAGTTAAAAAACAGTATAGAAGAGTTACACTACTTAATAGTGATGAATGGCCAACGAGTCATGAATTACAACTTAATCAAAAACAACATGAAGCATTAATGCTAGCATTAACCAAAAAAGTTGCTCTCATTCAAGGACCACCAGGTATAAAAATCTTAGTTTGAATAAAGTATTTTATTGTCAGATAAAAATTGTTTATTTGTTGCAACTATCGAACGTATGATGTCATCATCTTTTTTTCTCTCTTTGTACGTTGGAAAAAGGTAAGATGTCAAGGCTTCTTTCACTGCATGCATGTAATATATTGTTTTCTTGTTATGATAGTATCATATTATAGGCCTGCTTAATCATAGACAATGTAGAACTAATCATTAAAATTGATGATAATAACCTTGAATATATTGACATGTGTTTTGTCAAGTATATTGCTTTCTTGTATTATTATGCAGATGCATCCTCTTTGGACAGAATTCATTGCTTTAGACTTTAGATGTTCTATAGACTTAACAGATTTTTGTGTCATATATTTTATTTAGTATTTTTGCTAAAATATAGTGATTTAGCCCGCTTGACTTTGGATAATATGGTCGAACAATTAATGAATTACACTTGGTGTACGTCCACAACTAATTAATATGAATAATGTGAGCCTGATGAATCGTTTAGCTACGATAATTTGAATCGTGCAATCATTTAACGATGAACTAAAGTATTTTTGTCAGATTTATTAAAGACGGCCAATGTATAAATAGATAATATTGATGGAGAACATTGACAGCTACTAGAAGAAGAAAGAATATCCTTGTCTTACAGCTACCTTGCAGTATGGGATGTTGTCTAGCGATAGATTCAACAGCCTGATATCTTGTCTATAACTAATAAAATCTGTAAATCCGAATAGAAGACCAGCTTGAACTTCCCATCCCCATTAATTAACCATACGAACAGGAGTACATCACAATGGGTTCTATGATACATCTCATGGTGTTAAAAAATAAAAAAATAAAATGGCATTATAATGATGTATTTCAAATTCATCGATTAAAATAAACATTTTCATTAATTTCATTGAATGATTTTGATTAAAAATCAAATTTAGTGCATTTGATTAATTAAAGTGTCGCTTTTCATCAGTGAATTTGAAAAACATCAATTTGTTTTTCGCTTAGTCACAAAAAGTGCCATTTGTTTTTGTTTTTAATATAAAATTCACGAAAATCATGAAATGCTTCCGTGACAATTTCTCTCGATATACTTGCTTCCCGACGACACTTACTCTCCAGACAGTTGCACTGCAATAATTTGTGCTCGATTAAAAAGTCCGAAATAATTTTTCGAGCGTTACAGTTTATTATAAGCATAAAAAGGATGTGGATGTGAATGCTACTCTTCTGTATATAATACCCACACCCACATCAGTACCAATACCCCGCACCTAAACCTCATCCAGATTCACGCTCAAAACTGAACCATACTCGATTATATATGTTCTTGTAGTCAATAAGAATTCTATTAAGTACTGTTAGGAAGAAACTGTCGTAGAAGTATCTGACAGGAGAGCAACATTTGTGTTACCATCACAATGTAGCCAGTATAATATCAGGCAGTACCTTGTGAATACGTGTTGCACAACATAACCACTGAACAATGACGATTTCGACAGCTACAGATGTATTATCATATCTGTAGCTTCGAGGAAAAATATATTGACCTTTTGAATTAAGTTTCGATTCCGCTCTATACTATTAATATCAACAGAACAAGTAAAATATTTTCTTGTTGCTAATAGTAGAAAAGTTAGCCCGTTGACTCTCACTTGTTTTGCGAAAGTCCAGATTTTTATAGAAAATCTGTAAATATGATGTTTATTCAGTTTTTGAAAGACATTGTGTTTCTGTGTCAATGAAACATTAGTGGTTTATTTTCCTATGATAGTCTTCAAGGCAATTAACAACATATAAAGGTATATTGCTGCCAGGACACATATCTTGTATCACGTCGAAAACTATGATATGTGCAAACAAGGTATTTTCTTTGAAGCTGTTTTGATTGCGATGTTTGTGCAATGAGCGATGAATCGTATCGAACATTTAGAGGAAGAGGAGATTCCTTGTTAACGGTTTTCCAATAGTAGCCAGTCTTTGAAGTCCGTACTCTATGACTAATATTATCCATATGTGGAAGAACGCAAGAGAGTGTACGACGATTATAGCGACTATATATTTCTAGGTCAATGCCACGTCCCTGGTTCGTGACTTAACAGATTAAACGCTTTTCAAATAATCAAACAATAAGCTAGTAACATGTTTGTTCAATGAGAGTATACGTCACCGGAAGTCACCGGGTTACGAACGGTTTGGAACTCTTGACAATCTAAATCTTGCCAATAAATTTCATATTCATACTAGAATTTTTGTATTGAAGGATAAAAATTAATTAAACGTAAATATATTTAATTAAATTTTCTGAAATCTCATGAAAATAGTCACAACAAAAAAGTCTTTTAGTCAAATTATTCTTGTATAAAAAATATAATTTATCATTTATAGGAACAGGCAAGACATTTCTTGGTGTAAAAATTGCTGAATTCCTTCTACACAATCGATCTGTATGGTGTCCACCAGGTACATGTAATGCACCTATTTTGATGGTTTGTCAAACAAATCATGCCCTTGATCAATTTCTTGAACATATCATCACTCGATTGAATATGACTGATGGTATAGAAACAAAGCACATCAGATTCTGAAAATGATTTAAATTATTTGTACTTTAGGTTTAATTCGTGTCGGTGGTCGATGTAAAAATGAAAAAATTCTTCCATTTTCACTTGCAAAGGCTCGCCAAAGATATCGAGCAAATCATTTCATTCCATCGAGTATTTATCAACAAAAACGCACTATTATTAATCAAAAAACTTCTCTTGAAATAATAATGCAATCGAATGAAACCATTATTGATGCAACCTATTCACATTTGACATCCTTGGAACTTTTACATAAAACAAATATTCTTAAAAGAGACCATTATAATTCATTGATTGGTGGTAGTGGATACTATCGTTCATTAGATCTTATTTTAAATAAATGGCTTGGTTTAAATGAAAAAGTTCTTGTAATGAATTCAATAGATGATGAATTTGAACGATTAAGTATTGATGAAAATGAACCCATTTTAGAAGAAGATAATGAAGAACAAAATGAAGAACAATGTCGTCGCGATGAAATTGATTCAGATGAAGAATTTTTTCGTCCAATAAAAATTGCTCCAAAAATTAATTTTATTTTAACTAATAATAATGACGAGGATGATGAATGGCAAACAGAAGTAAATAAAAATAGACAAAAACAAATCATTCATCGATTATTAACGACTCCAACAAAATTAAATGATGAAACAATTGAGACAATTCAAAATGATCTATGGTCATTAAAAACCCTTGAACGTTATGATCTTTATCGATATTGGTTATATAAATATCGCGAGATACGTTATAAATCTGTTAGTAATGCACATTTAGCATTTAATCAAGCAATTGTAGAACATTCACAATACATGCAGTTAGAAGATTATTATATATTAAAACATGCTATTATTGTTGCAATGACAACAACATGTGCAGCAAAATATTTTGATGTTTTACAAAAGCTTGGCAAGAAAAAGAAAATAAATAAATTTTTTTTTGGTAATGACCGTCTTTTTTGTTTTTAGCATGTAAAATAGTCATTGTTGAAGAAGCAGCTGAAATATTTGAAGCACATATTACTACTTCATTAAGTCCAAAATGTGAACATTTAATATTAATTGGTGATCATGTTCAATTAAGACCTAGTCCTAGTGTTTATAAACTAGCAACTAATTATAATATTGATGTCAGTTTATTTGAACGTTTTGTTACAAATAATTTTCCTAATGTTCGATTAAATATACAGGTAAAGATAATGATGAAAATTCTCGAGTATTTTGATTCTACTTTGTTTAAAAGACTAATAGAAAATAGATTAAATTGACATTATTTAAAAGAAGTTTAACTTGTATTGTAATCTATAAAAAGAAATGGTAGACAAGAGATTGAATACATATTTATATTGAATGCACTCAAAAGAGAAATATCCTATATGGCACGTTTGTTCGCATTATTTTCATTATATCAGAAGCCACTTACAAGAGAAGTCCTTCAACTGATTAATCGCTTTTAAACTGGGATTATGTATTTCACGTAGACTCTAACGAGCTTTGAATACCATGGGAAGAGATCGATCCCTCAGCTTATTGTTGTGCAGATACTGCATTTTTACTATATTTTTCAAGTCGGTACCTTGGTCGCTTTTGAGAACATCAGAAAAAATGATTTTCGAATTTAGATTGGAAATTTCGAATAGAGATAAGCTATAGAAAGAATAGTTTATTGTGAAAATTTCAAATGTTCTGATTTGATTCTATCTTAAAATAAGAACATCGAATCTGCCAGCGCATATAAGCAATGCAAAAGATATTCTTTCATTATAGTCGTCTCTTAGGGTAAAAAGAACGAAAATATTTGAAACTTTCACAATGGACTGTTCTCATTAAGGTCTATCTCTGTGCACAGCTGGTGTTATTGAGGGAGACAAAAGCACTGAATTGAAAAAAGTGGTGAAAATTTAGTACTTTCACAGTAATCAGTTAAGGGCTCGAACTATTCTCAGGATATTCGAAGCTCATAAAGGTCTATATAATGAACATAATCCCGAATCTAAAGCAATTATGTTATCCTCTCGTCCTCTAGACAACCTGTTTATATATTTATCTTAAAAACTATTTTCTTGACGAAAATCAAGTTTTCTGATGAAGGAAGGTCCTAAGCAATTGAATGACTTTCCTCATTGTATACGTGTAAATACTTGTGAAGTGTCGCCCGGCGGTCGCTACTTCTTACACAATACCTTCATTAGAAATTATATGGAAAATTGAAGTACAATAAATAAGGAAATTTCTAAATTGAACTTTGAAATCATTCTCTTTATTAACTGAACTGACAAATGTAATTATTTCTTTACAATCATGGATATATGATGAAGATAAATATTTTTGTCGAATTTAAAAGGCATTTTCTTTAGCATCGTATGCGTCCAGAAATTTGTCAATTAATGCTTCATTTCTATGACAATCTTCAAAATCATGAAAGTGTCTTAACTGAACGTCCGGCAATAATTGGTGTAAAACAAAATTTATATTTTGTCAATCATAGTCATCCTGAAGAAGCTCTTGTCGAAGGAAATTCAAAACAAAATAAATTTGAAGCTGAATATATAATTGCACTTGCTCATTTTCTTATTAAGCAAGGCTATGAAAAGTCTCAAATAACAATTCTTGTTATGTATCTTGGTCAACGTGCATTAATATCTCGCATGATAAAAACAAGTTTATATAGTAAAACTTTAAAAGATATTCGTATCAATGTAACTGATTCGTTTCAAGGTGAAGAAAATGACATAATTTTACTTTCATTAGTCAGAAGTAATAATCAAACAAATACTATTGGTTTTCTTAAAATTCATAATCGTATTTGCGTGGCTTTATCGCGTGCTCGTTGTGCAATGTATATTGTTGGAAATTTAAATTTTCTTATGAAACATGAAGATATGTGGAGACAAATCGGTACAACTTTGTCTAAAGAAAATGCTGTTGCTACAGGTAAGTAAAATAAAATATGTATATTGCTTCGTAAATTTTTTAAAATTTAGGTCTTCCTCTCTGCTGCATACAGCATCCAGATGATGGTAATTTTATTGCTGATACACCAGCATCATTTTCTAAACGACCAGAAGGTGGATGTGAGAAATTATGTGGTAGTCGACTTTCTTGTGGACATTCATGTCCAAAGTTTTGTCATAATTATAGGTAATTAAAAGACTTAAATGCAGACAAAAACTATAGAAACACAGTATTTTTGGCATATTTTCTCAATGGTAGGAGTGTTACCCTTTACTTTCCGTTATATGACCAATATCTCTCCTAAATACTACGTTTCTAGACTTTTTACCTGCACTTTACGATTTCATCATACTGAGCTTTCTTTTCTCTTTGTATAGTCATGATCGAGTTCAATGTAGTAAAATCTGTAATGAATCTTTACCGAACTGTCAACATCGATGTCAAAACTTATGTCATTTCGCTACACCCAATGATCATAGAATTTGTCAAGAACGTGTAGAAAAAACGATACAATCATGTAATCATACTATTTCTATGGCATGTGGCATAGAACCAACAAGTGATAGATGTACATACATGGTACCAGTTCGATTTCCTTGTGACCATTTGGTCAATGTGACTTGTGCTACTCGAACATTAGGTTCAATTGATAAAGTTCCTTGTCGAGAACCTTGTCAAGATATTCTTTTATGTACACATCGATGTGCAGGTACATGTTCTGATTGTAAAACAGGTCAACTTCATTTACCATGTGAAGAACAATGTGGTCGTCAATTATTATGTACACATGTTAGTTTGAAGAAAAGAATATTATGAAAGAAAAAATTGATTCTTTGTTTTTGTTTTTAGTTATGTCATGCTCCTTGTGGACGTAATTGTCCTTCATGTTCATCGAAATGTGAAACAGTTTGTATTCATTCAAAATGTCCATTGAATTGTGGTGAACCTTGTTCACCATGTCATGAGGTAGAAATACCTAATTCAGTGAAAATTTCTTTATTTTATTGTGTGTATATGTTAGCCTTGTACAAATGCATGTCAACATACAGCATGTTCTCTTTTATGTTCGGAGCCATGTGATCGAAAGCCTTGTCAACATCCATGTTTGAAAAAAATTCCAAAATGTGATCATCCTTGTAAGAAAAAACATACCTTTTTGTCTATAGCATTAATAACCAAACGGAAATATTAAATTTATTCTATATTTACGATTTGCAATTTCTATTACAATAAAACTGAAAAATTCCTCATCAAATTTTCCCAACAGCTCACAATATATTAATGATAATTTAGTAATCTTTGATCATCTGATACTAATATGGTTAAATTTGAGGGGAGTCATTTCACTGTGGAGTTGCAAAACAGACAATATAAAAGATGCATTCGTCTTGAATGACATGGAAATTTTATTTATTGCGATTTGATTTTTTGTTTTCGCAGTTATTTGATTTGTATAAAGCAAGAGACCTACTTATTATAAAGTATTTTTTGAAAAATGAGTCAGTTCTGGAGATAATGTAGGGTTAGACACTTGCAAAGGCGGCTATTTTTCGGACTGAAATTAGTTCTTTCATTTCTTGAATTCTATCGGTATGATTAGTCTGCGTTTTCTGTGCTATAGTATTTAATCATTAGTTCTAATTCCGATTCGAAACCAATCATGTCTATTGTTATAATGTCATCCAACAATAAGGACATAACAAAAGTTGCAGGTTTCTTTCTTTTATTGGTGAGAATTTATTTAAAAACGGTCGTGGAATGCTTTTTGATTGTCTATTAAATCTAATAAAGTTTTTAGCGCGAAGATCATCTTATTCATGCATTTATACCAAAAATAGAATAATTTTAGAAAAGCCATTTTGGGTGTCAGTGGGTATGAACTTCATCTTCACCCCACATCAACACCTTATAAGATCTTGGATACGTTCTACAATCTCTGCAGATAACATAATGTTTTATTGAGATTTTTTTCTCACGAAATAGTAGTTAGGAACTGCAACAAGTATTAATCTCCTAATCTTTATACTGAATAAAACACTGACATTGTACTCTTTGCTTATGTTTTATTTTATTTGAATTAAGCCAATAAATAATACACAATGTATAATTGAAGTAAACCTAAGACTTGTGAAATCCATTGTAACTAATTTTAAGCTATAAGTTTATTCCTATGATAGGTATTGGTATGTGTGGTGAGCCATGTCCATCACAATGCCGAATATGTAATAAACCACTTGTACAAGAATTGTTTTTTGGTAATGAAGATAGACCATCTTCTCGTTTTGTTAATCTACCAGAGTGTAATCATTTATGTAAGAATACAGGTTTTTTTCTTGTATTTCTAACTACGTATTTATTTCTCAGTTGAAGTAAGTGACCTTGATCGGTATATGAATGATTTTCTTGACAAACAAAGAAATGGTTATGAATCTGTTCGTTTTCCTGTATGTCCACGCTGTCAAAAACCAATTCGTCATTGTCAAAGATATATACCAATCATTAATCAAGTTCAATCATGGATAGAACAAATAAAAATGAAACAACAAAATTGTCTAACAAAAAAGCAAATGATTGAACAAGGTAATGAATTATTAGAAAAGATCAAATATTCATGTGATAGAATAAAATTACTTGAACAAAAACAATTCGATACATTAATTCGCCGATTAGATGCTAAAAAAGAATCAATTAATATTGATGAATTTAATTATATGGAAAATACTCATGAATTTTTTAAAGAAATTAAGTAAGTAAATCAACCAAATTATTCATTTTTTCTCCAGAAAACAGTGTTTTTTGCTTTTTCTTAGTCGTTTATTAACTGATGGTCATGATAAATTGAACGAAGAAATATTTATTCAAACGATTGAACCAACATTTCGTCATCTTATTATTTATATATGTAAACAATGTAATGATAAAAATGCTCGAAATTATGCTCAACAACAATTAAATGATATTCAAAATGAACTTAAACGTATATGTTGTATGATTAATTATTATATACTAAATAATAGATTTGGAAGTAGTTTGAAAATTTTTAAGACTGAGTATTTAATCGAAATGAAAATGTTAACAAATAAAACGGGTCCATTTACGAAAAAAGATTATCAAAGATTTAAAGATCTTGTTGAGAAATTAAAAACTGAAGCATTTCTTTCACAATCTATTCTTATTGCAGAACAAACATTATCTATTATCGATATAATTCAAATGGAAACAGGTCATTGGTTTGTATGTCGAAATAATCATGTGTATAATATTGATCATGTAAGAATTCTGTAAATGTCCTTCTTGTTTTTAAAAATAATTAAAATTGGTGAAAATTCGAATAATTCAAAACAAATTAAAATACACAAGCTTTAGCAAACTTCCTCTTTTCAATGTAAAAATGTTACTGAAAGAGTTACTTGAAATTCACGTCGTGAACAAAATGTTGCAATATTTTATAGTACAATATATTTGCACATTATCAATTAACTTTGTAGAAAATAATAACAAAAGTTGAGAAAAAACTAGTGTAAAAAAAAACCGGTGAAACTGTACTTTTATACTTTCAATGGAATTTTCTAATTGGAATGGAATAGGCGCCCTAGAGTGTGAGGCATGTAAATCTAGGTGTGGTATGAGAGAGGATTCACACCATAGTATCATACATGCCTGTAACGACAAACTGGATGGAGTAGCTTGTCGCCACCCTCGGCAATGATGTTTATTAGCTATTTCCCATCTCCAGATTGTAACTACTTCACATACAATACACACTTATATAGGGGAGAGAAAGCGAGAGAGAGATGAGCACAGGAAAGAACAATAGAGAGAGAGGAAAGAGGAAAGGAAAATCATCAGAGCGTGCCATCAATATCGGCACAATGCCCAAATTCAAGTTTTTTTTTGTTTTTATAGTATATTGCGGTTAAATTAGGTCTACATACATGATTCCTACGTATTTGATAAATTCCATTTATGTGTTACTTATTCATTGTGCTTAGTTTTCTCGTGCTGCAATTTCTCTGCCTAACATTTCGTGATGACAATTCATCAAACCCAAAAGATTTATTGACAAAAGAAAAGTTTCTCATAAATATACGATACATTCGTAGTTTCACGTAAAACTGATGCTTCATTGAGAGAATCGGAAAGAATTTCATACAAAAAGGTTCTTCTACTGCGTCTTGATGAAAGTGTACGAGTCGATTCTAGCCAACAGATTGGTCAGAATTCAATAATTGACTTTTTATATTCCTGTGAAAAGTCAATCAGAACAAAACATAATCGATCACTGGTACAGACATCGTATGCCAGCTTCGAAATCAGACTATATTCCGAGATCGTCCGTTCGGTTTCTGCCAGAAAGTCACTGAAATCATTAACCTTGGATATTAAACAAGAATCTCTGTGCATTTTGCAAATGTGTCCATTTTTTTTTCAATTCAGAATTCAACTTTTTTTGAAACTACAGTATTTCCTCATTATTTTTCTTTGGTCATGTACAAATATATTGTATTTTATAATATTGCAACATTTTATCCATAACGATATGATTTATGAAGAGAAGTCCAATCATCATATAACGAGCATTTATGTTGATAAGTTCTGTCAAATCTTAATGAAACTTTGACATTCATTTCCTTTTTATAAAGCAATTTTCAGAATTTTAAATGAAATTCGATTGAAATTAACAGGTTCTTTTTTAGATGGATGGCGGTTTACAAAATGGCAAATGTTCATTGTGTATATCAAGAAAACAATCAACAACTACAACTGCTGAACATCACCGTACAAATACTGCTTTTATGACAAATTAATTATGATGCAATGCTTATTCGATTATGACCAATATACCTAATTTTAAGTTGATTTTTTGTCTAATATACTTTTTGCTTTTGATTTTCAGTTTAAATTTTTAACTAATGTAACAATTAGTTGATTGGTTTCTCTAACTTTTGTGTTCAAGGTAATATCAATAAAATTCATTCTTTAAAAGTGATTATAAAAAAAAACCATTAGATTTAGTATTTTTGTGATTACATGAGCATAATGAATTTTGACTTTTATTGACAACGAAATTTTTCATACTTCTTTTAAATGAGTGATGAATGAATTTTCTACTCAAAATAAAATAGTGATGGGTCAATGAGAAAGCTTTTGCACGAAAAAAGAGAATCAAGAAATAATATCGATTAATGACATTCGCAGAAATGTAGTTCATACAGACCGATTCTTCTTTAAGCAAAACAATTGATAGGAATGATGATGACAGGGGCACATTATAGGAAATCTTTGATATAATGATAAAATCATGTAGGGTGTGGGTGTGGGTGGGGTGTGGGTGTGGGGTGGCTGGATGTGGAATGTGTTGGCTTCTCCTACCCACCCACACATCCATACATACCCCACCCACACCCTCTGTATTGTTTGTCAAGAGGCATAAAAAAATCTCGATCTTTCTGTCCCTATTTTCTCTTTTTATAAATTTCAAAACAAAAATCGAACGGACATTAAATTGAATAAGAAACTACAAAATGTCGCTAGAAGAATATGTAATGAAATACATCTCTCTTCGTAAGAAACTGCTCTGCTGAAACAAAAACAATATGACTTTTTTTATCGAAAGGTGACTTCCAGATATGTCAATGGTGGTGGCGTCGTGACGGTGGCAGTTTTTTTGAATAACTATTGCGGTGCGCCAGCGGCGGCAGATTTTTTCTTGAAGAGAATGCAAAAGTTCGTGAATTTTGACAAAATTTCAGTGTCTACAAATGCAACACTGAGACTCAACGAGTCTCATCGATTAGTAACAATAGTTCTAGACCAAAGCAATTTTAGCCCTGAAATTCAAAACATTTTTCGAACAATCGCCGCAACGTGACAGGTTTTTCATTTTATCGCTAAGGCAAGCTTTCAGTCGCGATGGACATTTCTGATAGGTTCAAATAATATTTCTTCTTAAATCTTATAGTACTAACAGATATCACTCAAAATTCCTTGAAAATAGTTCATTATCAGCTAACAACACCTAGTGATCATTTCCTAACATAATTGGACTATAGTATAACATGGACTAATAAACCCGAGTTTGGCTCATTTCAAACAACCGCATCCGTCTTAGTAGATTATTATTTGTGCGAATAGAAGTTTTATACCACGTCAAATTTATTTCTGATCAACATCATTCATTAACACATATTTGTATAAAAGAACAAACACAACCATTATCAATCTATTATTAATACAACAGGAAAAAACAAATGATGGATCATTTGAGTAAATTACCCATCGAATTAATTTACAAAATTTTCGACAATTTACCGATGTGTGATATTCTCACCAATTTATATTTCGTAAATAAGCGACTTCACTCTGCATCTGCTATTTATCATCGTTTTCAACTTGATTTTCAATATGTTAAAAAATGCGAAGATTTTAATTATTTTTGCCAACGTTCGGTATGTCTATCATCTCGAATCGTTTCAATTAAAATGATGAGCCAACATGATGCAGCAATGTATATTAAGATTAATAAATTTCTCTCATATATCAATTCTATGAAAGATACATTTTCTACTTTACATTCACTTACTCTATCATATATTGATCGCAAGCTTTGGAAATGAATCAAAAATCAAGTGAAATCAATTAAATCTCTCATTTCATTTTCAATCTAATATTTGTCTGCTTCATTACAATACAATCAGGCATGTCAATTTACAGTAGATATTCTACGTGATTTATTATATTGGTCACTATCACTTAAACATGTTTATCTCGAAGCTGATGATCGATTTGTTGACATTTCTCGTTTTAATCTTCGTCAAGAACAAATTTCATCAATTGAAAATTTAACTTTACGTTATATATCTATTGATATAGAACATTTATATTCAATTGTATCTTGTTTACGTTCACTTGATACAAAAATAATTTCATATCGTCACGTTGAAAACACTTATTTATATTCTTTTGAACATTTACAACAACTATCGATTCATGTGAATCGTTTTGATCTTTTGACTCTCGAACAATTACTTTATCCTATGACAAAATTAAATCAATTGATTATTATTGGTGATAACATGAATAATGATGTATGTGATGGTCTTGCATGGGAACGAATATTAACTAACATCATCTGATTTAAATTCGCCTTTAGTTTTGAAAGAAATAATGATTTTATTCAATCTGATTCATTTCGTTCGTCATTTTGGCTCGAACAAAAACATTGGTATGTTCGATATGCTCGATCTAAAATTGGTGGATTTTCATTACTCTATTCAATTCCTTATTTTACGAATACATATCCATGGTTTCGTCTGAAAGGATCAATTGTGTGCGAATCAACTGCAGAACAACCGTTATCATTTTGTAATGTAAATCGTTTGATCCTTGATTATCAACGACTAATAAACAATGATCTTCGAAATCGATTTACTAATATCCAACAATTGATTGTGCAAGATTGTGAAAAAAGTTTTTATATTCTAATTCATGACATTGTTCCATATATTGATATATCAATTATTAACACATTTGTTATTGGTGAATGTAATTCAGAATTTTATGATCAGATTTTCGTTCAATTTATAATTAGTATGTCCAACTTACGTTCTATTACTATTCCAATTGATCTTCTCAGATTATTATATATTAACTGTTGGCTGAAGATTAACCGATTAAAAATTTTGCCACAATTGCGCAAGTGGTCTGCTAGATTTACGGACAAAGGCTTTACATTGAAAGAAGTCGATATGTTAATTTCTTTGTTTAGTAATATGGAACAAATTAGTTTTCATTTTGATACAATGCCACATTTACATGCATTTTTAAAGAATGTGCCAATGACATTATCAACTTTGGTTATTGAAGATTTCATTGATCGTCTACCTAATGACATTAGTAATTCTGAAACTGATGAATGGCTCGAAGATTTTGCACGTATTCATCAAATTTGTTGTGAATTTGATGAAAATAAGACTGCAGTTGTATAGCTTTAGTTCTTTGTAGTGTCTTTTTTCATGTTATTATTTTGAATAAAATAGAAAATGATGTTGATCCATCATCAATTATTGATTGTTTCTACGCTAAACTCAAATGACCTTGTAATTTTTCAATTTCACATAGATTGATGAAAAAGACTTTATTGATCGTTTTGTTTGAATGCAGGATTACGAGATCTTTTGAGAAGAAAGGAAAACTTGGCGATTTTTGAATCTTTCTCTCAATTCTAGTTTTTCACCGTTTGACAGGAATATACTATTTTTTCTCTCCACAGAAGGTGTCTCCTTATCGAAGAGTTTTTCATAGTGCTCTTGTATTCCTTCACTATCAAACGCGTTGTATTCTAAAAGACTCAAATCTTTTTGAGATTGGTCAGAGTGCAGGTGTTTAGATGTGTGCCTGAACGTAAGAATGATGTATAGATGAAAATAGGAGAGTGTGGGTGTGGGTGTGTGCAGGGGCCGCGCGAAAGGTCTAAGATTGGGGCGGTGTAGTGGGTTTTGAAATGGTGTAAAAAATTTGGGGGGGGGGGTGTAAAAGGGTATTTAGAGCAAAATTTCTTAAAAAAACACAAAATTCGTTCCAAATCTGCTCCCGTCGCTGAAAAAAAACAAAAATTTTCAACTATTGGGGGGGTGTACACTCCCCCACACCCCCCCGCTCGCGCGGCTTCTGTGAATATGTACAGATACAAGAATTAAAATGAATCTCTATTTCAATCTGCATAAGAGATCAAGTTTTGTTCATAATTTGTTCTTCTAATCGAATCATCGTAGAAATAATATCTATTTCAACAAATTGAGAAGAAATAGTCAAATATATCTATTATTGATCAACAAATGGTATTGAATAAGACCTTTTTTTTTCTTATAAAGAAATGTGAGGTTAAATGTCTAAAGTCTCGTTTCTCTTGTTCATACTTTTCCTAGTAAGATTATTCTCTGTATTCGATCAAGTAGAATGAGATCTAAGAAGAAAACAAGATCTGTTATTTTTACAGATTAAAAACATTGATTGTTAATGATGATGAAGAAAAAATAATTTAATGTCAATCAATGGTCAATTAGATGAAAACAAATAATGAAAAAAGTATTTTATCAAATCTAGTTCGTCAATCTCAAAATGAATTTGATGAAAATGTAATGAATAAACAAAAATCTTTTGTTGATTTAACAAAATTAAATCAAAGAATCAATTATTTGAATGAACAAGTTTGTTTATTTAATTTGTTTTTACTTATAAATGAATAAATCTCGTATCGAAATAGTTCTTATCAACACCAGCTTATCTTTTACCATCGATCGATCATTATTTTGTTGATTCATTAAAACGAATGCTTTTACCAAATGATCAACCACATACAAACTTGATTGACTTTTTTTTCTTCATTGAATCGAAGAAAATTTTTTAGAGAAATTCCATCAAATGATCAAATATCAATTGATCGTCTATCAACAATGTCTATGGATTCAGAAGATCAATCTTGAAAAATATTTGTTTTTTTTTCCATCGATTTTGACATCATTACAAGATAAAACTTTTGTTTTTGTTTTTCCTCAGCTGTTATTCGATGTGAAGTGATTGAAAACAAACGATGTTATTTGTTAAATTTAGTTTGATTTATTTTTCAAACTGAATGAATTTGAATATTTCGATATTCTTTGTTTTTGTTTTGAAGATTTGCACATATTTGATTGTATGGTTTAAATTATTCTTTCAAAGAATATCAAAAGTTAGTTTATTTAATAGATAATTTGATCAATTTTAGAAAAGAACGAGAGATGATTTTATTTCCATTATTTTTGTTTTTCAAACGAGAAGAATTTATTCTTCAAAATGATGGCAATAATTAGATTGTGCTCACATTCGCTCGCTCATATATTTTCATTCTTATCAATTGTTTTTAATATATGAATAGAAAAAAGCGAAATGTTGTATATTTTAGAATATCTCCAGGCGCATTCACTCGTATATTCAATAGCAGTGTGAACACAGTATTCCGACGATTTCTGTTGGCATTAATTCGAGCAACATTAATCTATAGAATAGCATTTTTTTTGGTTCATTTACCAACATTTTGGCATTATTTAATGACATTGGGAAAAGATGATAGAAAAGGTTTAAAACAAAAGAGAATTCCAGCAAAATTAATCGATGATTCTGATCCGTCATCTCCATATCGAGCTCTTGAAGTTCTTGATGAACTTCGAACACAACCTGAAGATTATGTTGAAACATTAGCTGTTATTCCTGATCTTTGTCTTGAACGTCATGCAGATTAAGAAACAATGAGCGTTACACAAATTCTCGATGTTGAAGATGAAAAACAACTAAATGGAAAAATTTTTAAAAAGGTTTTCTCTTTCTTTTTGTTTTTCCAAATGAAATTATTCCAAATGTTTTCTTTAATATAAAAGTATGCTTTTGGTGAATATCAATTTACAACATATCGTCAAGCTTGTGCTCGTATTGATGCAACTGGTCGTGGTCTTTTATAAATTGGCGCTAAACAAGGTGATAGAATATTAATTTATGCTGAAACACGTTCTGAATGGTTATTAACTACATTTGCCGCTTTTCGTCATGTTTAACAACTTCTCCTTCCGCA